TAGTTTCTGATGTAAGTGGCTTACACTTTAGTAAGCTGAGCACGTAGGTGGCAAGGAGAACCCGATTTGAACTCTTGCATAGGTGCTTTGGGCGTAGTAAGCTGAGCACGTAGGTGGCAAGGAGAACCCGATTTGAACTCTTGCATAGGTGCTTTGGGCGTAGTAAGCTGAGCACGTAGGTGGCAAGGAGAACCCGATTTGAACTCTTGCATAGGTGCTTTGGGCGTTTAAGCACAGAAGTGTTTGGCCTTGTGTAATGCCTTTTGCATGTGCTTATGTATGTACATGTGCGCCCAAATCCACCCACATCCCGTTTATCCTTGCTTTCGTCGTCTCTTCTTCCTGCTACTCTGTCAGTCAGAGCCTGGATTGTCACTGGCTCAGAGCAGAGACCTGTACATCTTGCACAAAGCCCTCAGTTGTTCAGTCTGCATTCGACCTGTATTATGGAACAACCATACTGTTTTCCCTCAGCTTTGGGAAATCTAGTCTTGCTTACAGGTTTGCTGGAGGAGGGATGAAAGTTTTACTTTTCTTCTCTCCTAGTACTCACAAGAGAGCAGTTAGCACTGTCCTGTTTAGCCCCTGAAGGGTTTTCGGAATGACCAGTACACCCCAGCCCATCCACCCCAGCAGGCATGCTCGGCGGGCTCATCCGTGCTGTAGAAGTGCTGTGTGTGTTGAGTATTTGTTTCTTTGTGCAATTTCTATAGCCCATCTCAATCCAAGTGTCTCTGGGCGGCGAGTATATGAATGACAACCTGCAGAAATGATAAGCGAGATTTGTCCTAATACCCAGAACAAGATTTGGTGTGAAGAGCAAAGGGAGTGGTGTATTGGTTCATGAGAGTGGGTGACAGTGGGTGCACAAGCAGTGGAACTATCCCCCATCCCCTTCCAGGAATTTCAAAAGGTAGCCCGATGCAGTTATATTTTCCCTTGCCCAAGATTGTATGGCTTGAGGCGTATCATCATTCTTGATTAGTATGATATTGCCACAATGCCTGAGTCCATTGCCCATCTGTGGCACAACCTTGGGGGAGGCAAGCAAAGCCTGGGTTATGACAGGTGTGCAGTAAGGAACAGAAACGGCGAGAGAGGCATAGGAGAAGAGTTTTGAAAGGAAAGATGAGATACAGTTGGAAGTCCCCAGTCAGCTGCTGTCTCTTAAGCCTGGAGGCTGAATGGAGTTGAAGGCCACTTCTTTCTTAGCCTTTGACATTTTGTACAGTCTTTCAAGTTGCTAGATCTCTTTTGTGCCCCTCGTTAGAGAGATTAGGCCTGCATACATGAAAGCCTAATACTGTACACAATGACTTTCCCAAGGCCGCCACTGTGCTTTATGGCTAATCCCTGCCTCTCCCATTTCCCATACGTTGCCTGCAGACCTGCAATTTCAGACTGAAGAGCTAGAACCTTCCCATTTTAAGTGCACTGAATTTGCACCCTCAGCCTAAATCTGTAGTGTAGTTGTGGCATCCACCTACAATTTCAACAATTATTATCTACATAGACCCACACCCACCCAATTTCTAAAATTGATTTCCAGCTGCTTTCAGGTTGGTTAGCATCCTTTTGGGGTGTTTCAATTCAGGTCTTACTACTTTTCTTCTCGAGCTTGGATATCAAGCACATTCCTCAGTGCTCTGAGGGTGGGATGTGAGAGAAATGACTGCAACTCAGTATATTTCCCCCTAAAGTAAAAACATCCTCCTCCAGGAACTAAGCTGCTGCATAGCTTGCTTAATTGGTTTGGCTGCATTTTGGAGGCATTCGCTGTTGTATAGCTAGAGCTTGGGTACCAAATTCCTGCTGTCAGCAAGTAGTTGCAAGTTATCTGCTGACACGCTATCCCTGTTGTCCTTGGGGCTGTCATCCCATCCGGTGGAGTTTCTGGGGACCAGTCAGAGCTAAGGTGGGAAAATGCTCATGTATCTCTTCATTGAAACACCAGCTACTGGCTTCAGCGGCTTGGTTAAGGCAGCTGCCCTCACCTTGTATCCTGGGGAGAGGCTATTTCTTGGATCCCCAAGCCCAACATTTTAGATTCCAAGCCCATGACCCTCACTATCAGTGGAATGTTCTTGAAGACAGTGGGACCATAGCTTGGTAGGAAGATACATGCTTTGGGTGCAAAACATCCACGTTCCAATTTTAGGTCAGGCAGGAAAAGTTATGTCAGTTTTCCTCAGACTGGAAGTTGGGATTGCCTGCAATTCCCATTGTCACAATCAAGGATGTGCTGCTTTGTATTACGGGGGTTGTAGGCTAACGCATCTGGAGAGCCCAGGATTGGGGAACTGTTGGTTTAGACCAGCGTTTCTCAACCTTGGCAACTTTAAGATATGCTGGCTGGGGAATTCTGGGAGTTGAAGTCCACATATCTTAAAGTTGCCAAGGTTGGGAAACGCTGGTCTAAACCAACAGTTCCCCAATCCTGGGCTCTCCAGATGCGTTAGCCTACAACCCCCGTAATACAAAGCAGCACATCCTTGATTGTGACAATGGGAATTGCAGGCAATCCCAACTTCCAGTCTGAGGAAAACTGACATAACTTTTCCTGCCTGACCTAA